CAGAACACAGCAGGGCTCAGAAGAGCATGAGTTAGCACACAAGGCTTTGAACATGTGAGGGGATGCTTGCTTTGTACCATTGAACTGGGGTAGTTATTTCAAATCATTATCACGGTAAGGGCTAAGACAGGGTGTTTAGCAGTCTTGTGCGAACTCTTGTTGAGGAAGCATAAGCTGAATTGACACGTTATTAGAGCTTCCTGTATCCAGCGTACTGTTTTAGCTACTGGATTGGAAAGAAAGAATGGCAGCATGGATGCAATAACAGAACAGGACAAGGATCTGCCTTCTGAGATGTGCCTCTGTATCTCTGGACAGCAGATCTTCCACTTTTGAGTAGTGCCTTTAATAAGGTTTTAGCATATCAAAGAACAAACTCCCCCTACCACTCACCACCCCTCTGTGTGTGTGTGTGTGTGTGCACATAGTCTTCAGAAAGTAAAACTGAATGTTCAAGAGTATGTTATGTACTACATATTTATGCATATACGTATATCTAAACATATACCTATGTATACACATACACACATATGCATATATGCATATATGTATACATACACATACATACACACATATATATGGGGTGACAGAGACTCAATAGAGTAAGCTGGCCCTGAACTCATAATTTTCCTGTCTTCATCACCCGAGTGCTGGACTAAAGGCACACATGTACTAGCAAATCTGGCTTACTATATTTTAAATTTGTTTACTCATTGAATTAAATAGGGATGCTTAAATGCAATATTTCTCCAATAATATATCTAAGAGAGAAAAATGCACATGAAAATTAAAATATTAAAATAACAGTATACTGTTTTAATGGTGAAATGATTTCACAAAACACTTTCTGCCCATCCGGAGCTACATAAGTGAGACCCTGTCTCAAAGCACGCGTGTGCATGCGCGCGCGCGCGCACGCACACACACACACACACACACACACACACACACACACACACATTAAGATACTCAAGTTGCCTTCCTGGGTTTTAAATTTCACCTTCTGAATACAGTGCCTTTGTTGCTGACCCATAATCAGCTGTAGTTTGTAGAACTTAGGGCTTCAAAAGTGAAGGACATTTATGTACATGCCATGGTACTCAGATATACACACCAGTGGCGATTTTGAGATCATCTGATTACATTGACAACTGAGAAGCTACTCATGAAGGTGAATTATACCCAATTCTGAATGGACCAGTGTAATCAGTGCTGACACATCAAGCAGTGCTGAGGACTTTGACGAGAAGACAAGGAGACCCAGGTCCCTGCATACAGGTTTAGGACTTTATAATCACTCCTTCAATGGAGGATGTATTTAAGAACTAGAGATCACAATTGAGATTAAAAGACAAAAGATAACTTTTTGCACTAGTATAAAGATCTGAGTTACAGTCCCCAGCACACATGAAAAAAACAGAGTACAGTGGCGTGGGTCTATAATCTGAGCTCAGGAGAAGCAATGATAGGAAGCTCCACAGAGCTCAATGGCCAGCTAGCGTTGTTAACTGGTAAACTCCAGACTCAGTCTCAAAGTCAAGGGGAGTCCAGGAGAGAAAGACACATACTATTGACCTATGGCCTCAACACATTTGCACACATGTGCAAAATATATGCATATATGAACATTCACATCTACTATACACATAAATAAATATAAAAACAGAAGAATTTGAAGAATGCGGCTGTGGCTGTAGATTAGTATTGGAGAACTTGCCTAGCATATTGTATGCCCTGGGTTAGACCACGAGCATGGAAAACAAAGTTTTGGAGAATATCAGATCGCCACTCCAACCCTCAATTAATGCATAATAATTCAAGGCAATAAAGGACAGTTTAAAAATGAAAAGCAACTAAATTTTGACTTTAAAAAAATTCACTAAAACAAATTTAATGCCAGAGAGGCTCAATTGTTAAGGCTTTGGTTCGTTCCCAGTCCTGATTAATTGTTAATTTCATAACAATGTACAAGCTTACCATACTGCCGTGTACCCCCACTTTCATCTGAAAAATGGAGCTATCAATAACTCTTATCTCCTCCCATAGAATTGCTATGAACACTGATAGGAAGAATATGTATGGTTGGATTATTTCACACATACTCCACTCACAGATGTGGTCTGTGGACGGCAGACACTATTGCCATCATGATTGATCCTTTCTGATGATTGGCATCAGGAAAAAGATCTTGGCATTAGAATCAATGATAGAGAGGAATTAGAGCAGCTGGGCTGCGGTTCCCGCAGAGAGAAACATGGCTGCTACATGAGGTGTACTCTGTTCTCTCTCATTGCCCAGCTCCATGAGTAGGCTGCTCTGCACATGTGTTGGGCATGGCTGTGGTGGTGATGAGTCACCCAGAGCAGGACACAACAGATAAGGAGGCCTCGCTCCTGAGGCAGCTTCAGGAACAGTGACACCGTCGGGAGCATCTTGGTAGGGAGGGGTGAAACCACTTCCCATCGTCATAGCTACCAAACCATCATGATTACTGGACTCAGTTGCACCAACAAGGAGAGAAGCTAAGTTCAGGCTGGGGAGGCTGTCCACAGGGCTGGTGTCACACAGCACACTGCTTCTTCAAGTCACTCTCGTGTGTCAGCATGATGCTGCAGCGGAGGGACACCAGCTGACACTCATCTAATCTGAACTGTCTCTGTGAATCATTTTCCTAGAGAATTGTCAACTAAAGACATTGGCTGGGAGCAAAAAGGGAGAAAGTGAATATAGTGAGAATATGAGTGCTCATGGATAGAGAGCGTCAGTCTTCCCGAGAAAGGAACACACCTTTGGTGTGCAGCAGAGCAGGAATAGACCCTTTTACATTTGTGAATGTGTGTGTGTGTGTGCATGTGTGTGTGTGCATATGTGCATGTGTGCCACCATGTGAGCGCAGGTGCCTGTGGAGGCTACAAGGAAGTGTCAGATTCCCTGGTGCTGTAGTTATCAGGAGTTGTGAGCCATGTGGGTGCTGGGAACTGAAGTCAGGGGCTCTGAAAGTACGTTCTAACCAGTGAGCTATTTCTTCACCCAACAGAGGACAACCTTTGGGAGTCACTTCTCTCCTTCTGCCATGGATTCTGGGCATTAAATTCAGATTGTCAGGTTTGCACACATGAGCTTTACCTACTGAGCCATCCTGCTGGGCCCCAGGCTCTTTTGACATCCTCAAGTAACAATTTTCCTGTAGCCTGATCCTCATTCCCACCCTTAACCAAAATTCCACTTCCATTCCTGACCTCACCATTCTCCTAGCCATCCAAGACCACACTGAAGTCTGTCTGTGACCTTTTTACAACCTCCTTACCCTGACATCAGATTCCATGACCATATTCCTACACAGGAATGGTTTCTGTGTGTTCCTTCCATTTGCCATCAGCCTGGGCCAGACCTTACTTCATCACAGCATACTGCCAGCATGGCCACTGTCCTCTGTGTTTCTTATTCAGTCCATCCAAATCTTCAGCACCACATCGTACTTTCCCAAACATTATTTTATTTTGTCACATCTTTCCCAATGGACTCATTGTTCCTAATATCTTGCTTTCTATTGCATGAAGTCTGGACCTTTCTTCATGACTTCCTTGGTACTACATCATGGCTCAAACGTCACACTAGCTTTGCTTTGCTTGTCAAATTGCACAGCCACCCTGCTGCCTCCATGTCACTCCCAATGACTCCAAACTGAAGACCCAAGTAGGAAGTTTTCCTTTCATGCCGTTATCTTGGCCGTCCTAATACATCACATTTTACCTACGAAGAGGATACAGGGAACAGACACATGCTTGAGTTGCTGAGACTGCTGATGAGGTCCCAGGGTGATGTGGGAAGGAGGGTTTGGGCTCGACATTCCATCCATTCCTACTACACATTTATGAGACATCTTGAGAGATTATGAAGGAAAAGGAATACCGTATCTGCCACAAAATATTTTCAACCAATAAGGAGATGAAGAGACAAATCTTTGCCATAATACAGTGCAGAGTAAAGAAAGAGACTCAAAAGGGCTTCATTCTTTTATAGCAAGTATGGAACCCCGGGAGGCAGGCATGAGAAACCTTCATTTTCCAGATGATAAAACTTGCTTACCTTCCTGAGAGTGCAAGAGGCTAGTTTATTGTTACAGAGCTAATAATTAGCAGATTGGGGTCTGCTAGCTGGGTGATCTTTTTAATGTGTGGCTCTGACTACAGCCAGCAGGGCCATGGCTCACACGGAAAAGCAGTGAAGCATGCTTGGGAACAGTGGTGAACAGGTTTGGGGCTGGGAGGCCTCCCTGGCAAGTGGCATTTGCCTCGGGAATGAAAGACTCCTGGAGATTTCAATCAGGAAAGAAAGCAGAGGAGGAAAGGATACTCTGGAAATAAAGAGACAGGGTGAACAAAGTTACAGACCCCAACACAAGGAGCAGGCCAAGTGCAAGATTGCTTGCTGAGTGGAGATGCCTCCCTCTTCCCCCCCTGAAAAGCGGAGATAAAGGAGGAGGTGAGGCCTGAGTGTTCCCTTTCTGATAAGCAGGCTCCACCCAGAGGCCAACAGTACACATTTGGGGACAGAGGGATAGAGTGGAAGGGGTGCCCCTTCTCCAGGGCCGCAGGGACTGGAGTGGGGGCTAAAGGGATGCCATTTCCAGTAAGCTGGCTTTAGATACAGCACCTGGAGCAGACCCAGGGAGGATTCTGGGAGCCAGAGAGAAGCAGAGACAGATGGCAAGTGTCCTGGAGAAACGTCCAGCTTCTGGAGCCAGAGCCTAGGGCGGGGGTTAGGGTGGCTTTGTGCAAATATCCTGTCCCCTCACCACACACTGGAGAGGAGGGAATATGAAGCTTTCAGAATAGAAAAAGGGAAAGGCAAGGCAGGTGGTGAGGGCAAGGAGGTGGGGAAGCTGAACAGGCAGGGAAGAGGTTTGTTCTGGGGACTTGAGATGAAAATGCGGGGAGGGGAGTTGTCAGTGTGACTTGACAAGCCTGTCTTTGACATGTCCTTCTTTTCCAAACCAGCTTCTCTCTCCCCCTCGCTCCTCCACCCACGTCAGGAGGAGAAGGACAGAAGTGTGGAAGGGCCCATGGAACAGAGCCAGGACAGTAGAATGGGACCTCCCTGGAGCCAGGAGGTAAGTGGCCTCTGCTATGACACTGGGGTCATCTCTTCTATCTCTAAAGTCCTACAAACCCTGTTTGATTCCTTTTTGCACAGAATTGCTGTCTCGTGTATTAGAGGTCTAAAGAAAGCTGGATCTTAGAGAGAATAAGCGGAATTACCCCTGTACAAAGGGACACTAACACTAACCCCCGTGCCCAGTTCTCATCATCTTATCATCTCTGTCCCTCCCAAACTTGTTTGTCTTGTTTGTTTCCCCCACTAGGGTTCTCCAGAAGAAGGGCTTCCCACTGAATGGAGCAGACAGTGGACAAGAGGCAGACGGGTGTTGATAGCGATCCTGCTCGGTGGCCTGGTCCTCGGTTCCTCTGTGCTCTGGGTGTACATCTTCCGGAATTGTGGTCCTCGTAAGGAAGATTCTGAAACACCCGTGACCTAGGCAGCCCTCCCTCATATGCTCTGGTCCTGACCCCCGAGACTCCTGCCCCATGACTTCCTTGCCCCTCCCTACTCTCATGGTTCCTGAGAATCTAGATGCTTTCACCCTGAATCCCACCACAGCCGGCAGGCCACCGGGCAGACAATTTCCTTTTTAACTCAGCCCCTCCTTTCTTCCTCACTAGAAGTCCTTTGCCAGCCCCTTGGGGGAGCCCTTGTTCAGTTTGCTCTTCGTTTCTAGCTCTGAGCTTTTGTTTCACAGGCCATTGTGAGACGCCAGTGTGTTTGGACCTCCTGGCCCGTTACCTGGCCTCTGGAAACAGCAGTGTAGACCCCTGCACTGACTTCTTCCGCTTTGTCTGTGAAAAGGGCAATGGGACCAGTGACTCTTTTCAGACTCTTTCAGAAGAGAACAAGAGCCAGCTGTGGAGACTATTGGGTGAGGACACAGGATGGCAGACTCTCTGGGCAAGCAGACAACTGAGTCCCAAGTGATCTTGATAGCTCTAAATTCTGCAAAACCTCCGGCTTGCTCCTCCACTTCCACCCAACATTCTCCTTTACTCCCATCCTGCTTATTCTCCATCTTTTTGTTTCTTCCATCTCTTTTCTTTCTTGTTTCCCTTTCTGAATTTCCTTTATGGTCCCCATTTTTCATCTTCACTCCATCTCCCTGCTCTAATCCTGTGGTCAAGCTGAGCTGTTAAAAACTGGGAGTTCCCCTCACTTACCTAAGCTTGATCCTCTCCTCTATCACTGTGGGCAAGTTTCCTGAACATTCCTATAAAGTTCCCATCTCCTGCTTGTCCCTGTACCAGTATCTCCTCATTCAATGTCCTCATGTTTCCTTTCTAGAGACCCCAGGGTCTTGGCACCTAGGATCTGGGGAGGAGAAAGCCTTCCAATTTTATAACTCCTGTATGGACACAGATGCCATTGAAGCTGAAGGAGTAGGTCCCCTCCAACAAATTATTGAAGAGGTGAGAAAAACTGGAGTGTCACTGTTTCTGAGTAATTCACATGACCAGTGAGTGCTTGAGGGCTTGCCATGATTTTCTAGAGTGCAGGTCTCTTTCTTAGGGATTCCAGGTTCTAGGAGGAAGACGGAACTGGAAATACTCCCTGAAGAATTGAGACTTAGAGTGAAGGTAGAGAAAGAAGTGGAAGCCTAGAGGGAACAAAGGGCTCGGAAACCCAGAGCAGGTGGCTGCGAGGAAAGGAAAGATGAGCACATCTTTGGGGCTAGCTCTCAGGGGTGCCTAAATTCAGTTCTGTCTCTCTTCTTCCAAGCTTGGAGGCTGGCACATCTCAGGCAACTGGACTTCCTTAGACTTTAACCGAACTCTGAGGCTTCTGATGAGTCAGTACGGCCACTTCCCATTCTTCAGGGCCCATCTGCAACCTCATCCGAGCCCTCCACACACACCAGTTATCCAGGTGAGGGATAAACTGGCAACACCACAGTTGCGCCTGAGCCTGTCTCTACCTCCAGGCTATCATTGCTTCGAAAAGAGATCTCAGGCTGGGAGATAAGACATATGTGCCAAGGAGGGAACAGCCCTATCTTAGGGGAAAATTAGTACTACACGGATCAGGTGAGACTAGGTGAGACTGGGGAAGGGTGTTGCAGGGCCAGCTCTGAGCAGAGTGGAGTACTTTCAGACTTCTTTATTGTAAATAAGAATTTCTGCGGGACCTCTCCATTAGTTCTTCAGAACTGCCTTTCTCTTGTTTACTCTTTATTTTCCCCCAAGGCACCTTTCTAAACTTAAGAGCTAAGAGTTTGTCATTTTAATAGATCACCCAGTCATCAAGATACGGCCCCTAATCTTCAGCAAAGCATTGCAAGTTTGTGATCTGACCCCTGCGCTTATCTTCTGTTGCATTCCGTCTCCCCCTTATACTCTACGCTCTGCTGACTCACACGTAATGCCAAAAATATTCCTCTTCTCTTTGCATATGCTGCTTTCTTGCCTGTAACAATGCTAGAAGACTCCTACATGTTTCAGATGTTAGCTTTAAGAGCCTCTTCTTTCAGTAAGTCTTCCCAACTCACTAGTTGGGTAAAGTCCCTCTGTCACCCGTTAAATGCTCTTAGCATTGACTACTCTGAACGAGTGTGGCCTCAACAGACTAGAGTTCTTCTCAGCAACTAGTGGCCATACTAGGTGTTTGTTGAGTTTGTAAATAAATAAATAACGGAGCTATCACTGCTGTGGTAAACACTGGAGTGGTCTATATTTGTCACTGAACCCCACAGCTTTGTACAAGGTGATTATTCAAGAATTCATGACAATTGTTATAAGGTATTCCAAGATTCTGCTTTAACATGTGGATTTGTGCATCTAGCTGTTATGGTTTGGTGGGATTAGTTAAGATCTGAAGTGGTTAAGGACAGATTTAGAGAGGAGGATGTGAACAGAGTCTTGGGGTATGGCTAATTATTCAAGGGAAGAATGAAACTAAAAGACACCATCAAAGTGTTACAGGAAACTTCTGAGCTAAAGGAAGTATTTGGGGTGGCGGGGCTTCTGCACAAGGTCAATGAGAGACTGGCCTGGAGATTGGGTGTGAATGAAAATATGAGACTGGGCCAGAAATTATTGTTGGCCCAGTTAAGAAGAATGAATAACTATTAGCATATGGTAAAAAGAGGAGCTTCTGAATTCTTTCAGATATCACCATGGATTTGTGTAGAGCTCAAGAATAATCAGCTTTGGAGGCAACCTGAAGAAGCTGAGGATTCTAACTTAACATATTTGAGTTTGGTGAATAACAGCAAAAACGAAAAATAAGAGCTGAGCATGAGAACATGGTCAGTTTCAACACATTGTTAATGGTCCCAGAGATTTTCCAAGGTTGAAAATAAAAGGAGGAGATGCAGGAAATACTGAGTCATGAAATCAGTTCCAGTGTGGATAGTCTCTTGACTAAGCTTAGGTAGAAGGAATAAACTGCAGAGGAGCCCATGGGATGCTTAAGCAGGAGGAATGGGAAAGTGCAAGGGATCATGGAGGTAGAAGATGGACCACCATGTTTGGGATCAGAAGGCAAAAGGGAGGAACTACAGAAAGGAACTATGAATTTGAGAGATTCTCTCACACACAGAGTAGGGAACTGGAAGACACCATTGAAAACTTGCAGCTAGTCACAAAAATTTTTCTAAGACTAGACAGAGATTGTAGTTGGAGTTCAGGAGGACAGTAAAGAAATTGTAACAATGGGCAAAGATGCTTTTTCCTCTCTAAACTTTAGACATAAAATGCAATAAAGGGGTAAACTAAAAGATTATTTTCAAGATGGAGGAAAAGTGTGGAGGTCAGAGTGGGAGTGGGACATAGAAATTAGAAGAGAGGAAGGAGTGCATGAACACAATTAGTTTGTGAATCAAAGAACATTGGGGCCTGGGCACTTGACTGGAGTGCAAAGTTGAACAGATCACCTACATATAGTATCAATATAAATCTGAATACTTTTAAAATATAAATTAATGCAAAATCTATGTGAACAAACCATCAAATTTTCAATTCTAAAAATAATTTCTTTCAAAATTGATCAAAACTATTATGGTTCTTCGAAAAACAATTCTACTTTACAAATAGAATAAAATAGTGTGTGGAATCCGGTGATAAGCAAGTACTGTAGAACCATGCTTCAAGCTCCTAACATTGGAGAATTTATCTTTAAAAATTCATTATAAGCAAAGTTATGATGTTTTATTCATGATGGATTTCCTGCATTAATTTTGTTTTAAAAGCATGTATTAAAATGTGCATCTTGTTACTGAATGTGAGTACTTCTTAATTAGTGCACCTGACATGGGTGTCTCATATCCTTGACTCTAGATCTACACTGGCACAAAGAGTAGCTTCCTGCAAACAAATCTGTGTGTTCCTCAGTTGCTGAGAAGCTCAATGTTTGCATGCATAGACTTTCCCCATGGTCCCCGTCTTTCTTTGTATAGTCTTTCCTCTCTCTCATTTCTTTATTCCCATTTCCCCATCTTCCACGGTTCCTCCCCTGCCTTCCCACGCCTTCCCTCTCCATCCCCTATGCTCCTACTTCTCTCCAGTCTCTCTTGTGTCCAGATAGACCAGCCGGAGTTTGACATTCTTCTCCAGAAAGAGCAGGAACAGAAAATCTATGCGCAGGTAAGATTCCACACAACACACCCGCTCTGCCCCCAGGCAAAAGGCTGCTTCTGGCTTCTGAGACGAAGTTTGCCTTGTCTTCTAGATCCTGCGGGAACAGCTGACTTACCTGAATCGCCTGGGAACTTTGCTGGGAGGAGATGCCCAGAAAGTGCAACAGCATGCTGCCTGGTTCATCTCCTTTACTTCACGCCTCTTCCAGTTTCTGAGGCCGCTAGAGCAGCAGCAGGCCCAAGACAAGCTCTTCCAAGTGGTCACTATCGGTGAACTGCAGGTGCCTAGAACTGAGGGCCTGAGGACTTGGTGCTTGATGGTCTCTCAAAACCTTTCTCTGTTTTATCTTCTTCCTCCTTGTACCCTTAATTTCTTTACTTAAAAAAAATACGCGTGTTTATTTATTTATTATGTGGAGTGCTGGGCATGAATATGCCAAGGTGTGAATATGGAAACCAGATAACCATTTTCAAGAGGTGGATTCTTGCCTTTCCATCCTATGGGCTGGAGAGACTGAACTCAAGTGGTCAGGCTCGGTGACAAGTGCCATTGACCACTGAACCCTCTTCCTGGCCCTTTACTTCCTTTCATTTCCGTTCTTCCATAGCTCCAGTTACGGGGGAAATCCTCCAATCCTTGCCCTAGCACAGCCCCTCCCTCCCCATCCTGTGCCTTTTCTTGTCCTTTCCTTCTTTTCAACCTTGTATCCTTTCTCTAAGGAAATGGCCCCTGCCATCGACTGGCTGTCCTGCTTACAAGCCATATTCACACCGATGTCTTTGAGTCCCGCCCAGACCCTTGTCGTCCGTGACCTAGACTACTTGAGAAACATGTCACAACTGGTAGAAGAGGAGCTGCTGGCAAACAGGTTCGCCCAGGTGGAGCTGGACAGATATTGGGCATGGAAGGAGAGTGAGGACACATAGGTATCAGGGACACCCTGCGTGAGAGGCACCCACCATGTAGGGGGACACAGAAGGGTAGAGTGGGTGGTAGAAAAGTAAACATAAAAACCAAGAATTATGTAAGGCTTTGAGGTGTGAGGACCACATGACACATGAAATGAAGGATGTAGGGGTAAAGAAGATGAGGTCCTGCCAGGAACGTAACATCCACCTTTAAGGAACTCCTGCACTATAGGTAATGCCTGAAAGCCCGACTTTGAAAGGCACAAACCCAAGCCCTTCTGTATAGCATCTCAGGGGTGATATTGTCTAGAAACCCTCTATAGGGGAGGCAAAGCAGCAATCATGTGGCTTCTGCAGTTTTATAAGTGTGCCTGAAAAGAGAGCTGCCAGCAGGACCAAGGCAAGCCACACCCCACCTTTGCTGTACTTAGCCATCTGTCCTCAAATGAGCTGAGGTTTCCTGGTTGTGGAAATAGATGAATCAAGTCCTTCTCTCCTTGTAACTTCAGAAGGCAACTTCTGAACTTGTTTCCTCTGCCACCCCCAAAGCCAAATCAAGAAAGACTGTTTCTTGGTGTTTGGGTATATATGGCAGTTGGTCTTTGTAAATATAGAGGACAGGGCTGCATACAGGTATACCAAGGTGATTTACTGAAGGGATTCTTCATTGGGGCATGTTGAGAAGCTTTGGTTTTAGGTTGAAAATTTTTTCTCCACAGGGACCTGATACAGAGCTACATGATCTTGGGGCTGGTAGATACCCTTTCCCCAGCCCTGGACAGTAAATTCAGGGAAGCACGCAGAGAACTGAGACAGAAACTATGGGAACTGAAAGAGCGACCACCCCTGGTAAGGAGAGAAGGTGATGTACTTTCTATATTGGGGGAAATATTGATATATTTCCAGAGATAAAAAGGCACAGGGAGAGAATTCCTACCATGTGGAATTAGGCAGGATTGGAAGACAGAGTGTACCTTTAGAATCAAGATACCACCTGGTTACTTCTGTGGCATTTAGCTGAACATTAGAATTTCAATATAAAAGTGAAATAAAGAAGGACCATTCCTTTGCCATAACTCTTGAACAATGTGCTGTCTTCCTGAACCTCTGAACTCAATGGTTTGAAGACCTGGACCTAAAGTTTAAGATTTATTGTGGTGAATGATATTTGGCACACAGTAGCCATCTAGAAGACTCCATGTTTGGTTTCTAAGTGTGTATCAAAGAGTTCATCTCTGATCCAATGAGATTTTATTTTATTTTATTTTATTTTTGGTTACAAATGAACTTGGTTGGTCAGATCCTCCCATATCTGAGGAGAAAGGTGTCTAAGAAGTGTGTAGAACCAATCAACCAGTTAGATATGTTATCTGAGATGCACAGATCTGCCCTCAGAGAGCTCCTTGACATCCTATGTCAGATCATTTCAAGTGTAAGTGGAGATGTCTAGAGCACTGGATACATCCTTATCTCAGTGAAGGTCTCAGTTTACAGTCTTGAGGGAAACTAACTTTTTTTCTTGTTAATTTGTGAGCCGTTTCTCTACCTCAAAAAAGTCCTTCAAAATATTTGCTGAATTCTGGGGAGATGGCTCAGTAGCTAAAATGCTTGCCACTCAAGGGTGAGGATGTGAGTTTGAATACCCAGTTTGATGTAAATTGCAGTGGTGGTGTCTATAATCCCAGTGTTTCTGTGGCAAGATGGGATGGAGACAGGAGAACTCCTGGACATTCAGGGTCTGGTAGCCTGGTGTATATAATGGCAAAACAAGGAAACCCAGTCTCAAACAAAGTGGAAAGTTCGGGATTGGCACCTGAGGTTGTCTTCTGAACTCTACTCATGCACCATGGCAATTAATGTGTATTCTCTCTCTCTCTCTCCTCTCTCTCTCTCTCTCTCTCTCTCTCTCTCTCTCTCTCTCTCTCTCTCTCTCTCTTCTTAAAATTTTAAAGGTAAAATGTTCTCATAGAGACTGAAATGTAGCTGTTGATTGTTTATGGTTTATGAAAGCCTAGATAATTTCCTTTATTGGCTTAATCCTCAGTTTTTTATGAGGTAACATAAATACCATTTTATGTTTTTATTTATTTATTTTTTTAAAGACAGAGTTTTACTATGCAGTTCTGGCTGTCCTGGAACTCACTCTGTAGACGAGGTTGGCCTCATACTCATAGAGATTTGCCTGCCTCTGCCTCCCAAGTGCTGGGATTAAAGGCATATAACAATACACCCAGTTCATTTTATGTTTAGAGATGAATCATTGACTCTGAGGAAACCTGACTATAGTAATAAGTTAGATCATCTCTGGCTGTCCGGCTTCAAGGTTAGTTTGCTTCTTCAATGCCTTAGACCATTCTCCTTTAGGATGGTCACTCAGTGTGGGACAGATTCACCAGAAGCCCATCTCTTGATCAGATGAAGTGGAGCATAACACCAAATGCAAACTTCCTGGCAAAAATAGCTTCCTGTAAATGCCAGCACTGTGGCATGAGGTCATGTCTTGGAAGTTATAAACATGTCAACACAGAGATTCATGCTTAAAGAATGTGGAAGGCTTATAGATCCTGTAATCACCATACTTTCATTTGGGGGTATATAACTGCAAAATATGTATCATGTTCTGCCAACACATAGTAATATGACGACTTTGGAGAAGCTGCTTCGACTTCCTGGACAGTACAAAAAGTGACACAGAGTGATAATGTTGATAGCATCTGACTCTTAAAGTTACGGTCAGGCATCCGTGAACACCACTCACTAGGGATGATTATAGTTAACCTTCCCAGAAATGCTCTGAGGTTTTTAGTTCCCATTTCTCAGCTCAGAAACAGGTGTGAGAATGACAAATAACTTCCCCAAGATTGCGTTGCTCTGAAATGAAGAAACAGGCTCCAAAACAAATCTGGTTGGCGCATGAAACTATATTTTTAACACAATGGGCAAGATTGAGAAACATGTGGGTGCTACAGCATTGGGTTAGGACTCTTCTATAAAGGGCAAGACAGCTAAGTAGATTTGGCTTTATGTTCCATATAGTTTCTGTTGCTAGCACTTGACTGTCCTGGTGGCACAGAAGACAGAGCTGTGCTCCTAAAGAACACAGTTTGGACAATGCATACCTTTGGTGACTCCTAAAGCAGGGTGATTGGAGAGGGTTTGGATATCAACAGGCTCCCTTAGTAGCAGGTGGAACTGAAGCCATGTTTAGAGAAAAGAAAACATTTCCCGGCCTTATCTCACGGGAGCAATTCATGAAGCAGACGGGTTAAAAATTGGTCTAGTGTGTAGGGTCCTCCTCATGCCTCTGGCTGAAAAGAAACAATGGGGCTTTGCAGCCAAGGCTGTGCCCAGTGCTACCGCTGAAGTTGACTCTTGGTAGTTGAGAACTGGATCCGAAAATAGGATAACATTGAGGTGGAAATCAGAGAGCAGGGGGTCTGGCAGGATGCTTGCTTTTCTTCATGAAATAAGACAGTTAAAGAATTTGAGCTGATTTATATTTTATAAGAACATGTTTCAAGATAAGCAATGGAATTTCCTGGCTTCTGTGTTAAGAGGTAACATGGAGTCAGGGGCAATACCAGATTCTGGGTTTGATTTTTAGTTCCAGACAATTATTAATTGAAGACCTCTGACTCCTCTGAGAAATACTAATGTATGTTCCTAGTTTGAAATCTCAGTAAGTGTCATATCTGAACTATTTATATTTAGCCTAACATCCAAATTTGTTTAGACAATTTAAAATTTTGTTTAAACAAGTAATTTCAGTTACCTTTTTTCTTGGGTCATCTGCAATTTTACTCAATATTTCTTAATCCAGACTACTATTAATATCTTATTAGCCGGGCGGTGGTGGCGCACGCCTTTAATCCCAGCACTCGGGAGGCAGAGGCAGGCGGATCTCTGTGAGTTCGAGGCCAGCCTGGGCTACCAAGTGAGTTCCAGGAAAGGCGCAAAGCTATACAGAGAAACCCTGTCTCGAAAAACCAAAAAAAAAAAAAATATATCTTATTAGCAAAGCATTAGGTCAGGTTTTATTTAGCTACACATTCATCTATTCATTATGTGATATTTTGTTGTTTTTCAATTTTTTTTGAGACAGGGTCTTAACACATCACCACGATGGCTTAGAACTTCTAATCCTCCTGCCTCAGCCCTTCCACTGTAGGATTACAGATGTGTGCCACCATTCATGGCATGTGGGATATGTGACAATATTTGTTGAGTACCAATTTTTTTTTAAAAAAAAATGCTTCTCTAGGCACCTGTTATGTAACAGTGAGCTAAATAGACAAGCATCCCTGCCTTTGGGTATTCATAGTTCAGGAAAAAGAGAGATAATAAACTGTTTCTGCTGGGTGGTGTTAGGAAGAAAAGCAAAACATAAAATGAAGAAAAGGAATGCAAGAGAAAGAGCAGTTATGATTATAGGTAGGCGGGTCAGAAAAGGTCAAATTAGCTGTGAGTCATTCTCATGGCGTTTGGTTATGGTTCAACCAGACAGGAGTCCACTCACATTACACCACCATCGTTCTACATCTATTTCTTCATCTCATTTACCAGGACATGATTTATGATTTAACCAGATCCTTTCCTGATATTGAGATAATGTCACCAGAGTGGCAATAGAATTTAAAGAGTAGTGCTAATGGAATTCCAGTGGAATTTAGAATAAACAGTGTGCTTTTAAGGACTTATGTCACCTGATCTTTAAATATCTTTAAATCTGAGAGGAAAGTAGAGCAGACATTGCTTTTGTTTGTACATCTGGTCTACCTGAAGTACCTGGATTTAAGTTAATAGCTCACATTGGTAAATGCTGGAAACTGTGTTTAAGGGCAGTATTGTAGTGGTCTTTAAGGAAAAATTTAGTTTACAGACAGGTTTCATTGGCATTTGGAGTAATTTATGTTGAAAATTAGCAGGTGGCATTCTAATAGATATGCATGTGTGCATTTGTGTAACCAAGCAGTCCTGGACCAACCTTCTTCAGCAGTGCTGCTCATTTCTGATAGGTTCACTCTCCAGTTTAGTGCAGCCCATCTGTGTCCTGTGCTTCTGATATGGGACTCTGTTATGTTATTTGGGGGGCCCTTATCTGTGTTTTTAGAAGGCTCTTATCTCTTTGTGTAGCTCCTAGTCTGTCTTGTGCCCCGTTTAATGAGCCCTTCAAATAGATACATTTTTATTATTTTGACATTTGTGGTCCTCAGTGATCCTACTCTGGCCTTTAATAGTTACGCATTATTCTCCATGCCTTCAAAAAACATTCATTTAATAATTCATTAGAGAATTTTATCTAGAAGTCCTTACATACTCTTGTGATCTTTCTTGACTTCTATCATTTCTTTATATTATTATCATTCATGGTTTGTAGGAGATATATGCAACAATTTTCACTGCCCTGAAATGAATCTACCGAGGTTTATTATCTTGCATTTGAAGTATTTCTTCCATCCTTTATATTCCAGAGATTTCTCCCTCCTCGATTTCCACATTTTCTGTAACACTGTAGTACCCTTCCCTGTCTAGAGAGACAGCTAGGATTCTAGTCTGAGTGATGTTCTTGTTACTTAGCATTTTGCTTTCACCTCTGCTAGCAGTAAACAGTGTATCACCTAAAAGCCCAGGTTTACTGATCTACAGGATACTGCAATATAATAAACACATTTTGAGACTGGGCATGGGTTGTGTAGAGAAAAGGAGTTTCTCTCTTCAGTTTACAGTTTAGAAATGGGAGTCTGGGCCGGGCGGTGGTGGCACACGCCTGTAATCCCAGCACTCGGGAGGCAGAGGCAGGTGAATCTCTGTGAGTTCGAGGCCAGTCTGGTCTCCAAAGCAAGTTCCAGGAAAGATGCAAAGCTACACAGAGAAACTCTGTCTCAAAAAACAAAACAAAACAAAACAAAACAAACAAACAAAAAAAACAGAAAGAAAGAAATGGGAGTCTGGGAGGGAGGAGTGTGTGGTGCAACTCCTGGGCCATTTCTGTGGTGGGTAGGGGCCCAGGTGAGTAACTCAACATTGGATACTCCTTCTCCCCTCCACAGGAGTCTTTTACTCCTCAGATAGATACCTCCCAAGAGCCTTGCTTTCATACCAATAGACAACAAGCATGGGTCCTGAGTGAGATGGGTAGCCTTTTTCTGCTGAGCAACAGTGGGTATTGCTAGATAAAATGATAAATGGAAATCTCTCCCTCTCCCTCCTCTCTCTCTCTCTCTCTCTCTCTCTCTCTCTCTCTCTCTCTCTGTGCGTTCTATTGTCTTCTACATGTGTAGTGTATGCATGCATGTGTTATTGTATATGTACTTGTGTGTGCATATAGAGGCCTGAGGTTGACATCGGGTATCGTTCTTTTATCCACCTCCACCTTTAGTTTTTGAGGTAGTATCTCTCACTGAACCTAAATTTCATTGATTCAGATAGACTGGATGGCAACCAAACAGTTTCAGGAGTCTGTTTTTATCATTTCCACCCTAGGCATGAGCCTCCATTCCTCACTTTTTATGTGGGTTCTGAGGTCCTGGAATCAAGTCCTTATATTTGTGTAGTTGGCATTCTAATGCCTGAGTCATCTCCCCATTCCTGGGAAATAAAAATTTAAAAAAACCATCAAAGGGAATATCCTGTGAGATGAAGGTCTATGCAAGATTGGTGTTGGGATGTGACGAAAACAGAGGCCTGAGCAGGTCTCACTCACTCCAGTATGTTTTTGCAGCCAGCCTCCCCACGATGGATGAAGTGTGTGGAAGAAACAGGCAAATTCTTTGAGCCTACCCTGGCAGCTCTGTTTGTTCGGGAAGCCTTTGGCCCCAGCATCCGAAGCGCTGTATGTGAGAGCTTTTGCCTGTCTGCAGCCCTGCACCCTTCTCACTCACCACACCTTGCCCTGATTCTGTGGAGTGTGCCCTTCTCTGTGGTGTGCAAGGCAGGAATCAGGCAGAAAAGAAATTCAACTGAGAAGGAACCCAGAGACCTGCTCAGTCTCTTGGGCAAGTCCAGTTTAGCCACAGGACACAAGTATTCACAACATGAATTAACTTGAACACCTCACTGGACTTTCCTGGTATTGTGTTTCTTCAACCATAAAAAAGGGGGGGGGGACAAACTCCTTGACCTTTAAGGCTCCTCCCTGTTTGTCTAGGAGTTTTGAACAACACATGATAGACTATGAGATCAGAATGATGTAATCTCACAGAGGGCAAATGAGTAACTTCTAAATAAGTGGGGGACTCCGTGAGAAGGGGACTCAAGCATTTTATGTGTAATGTTTTTTAATTGAAATTATTTCCTGATTTAATAGGAGAGTGAAATGAGCCAAGGGTAGTTGAACAAGTTGCTTAATGTCATGGAGACTCTAGGTAGCAGTCAGGATTTGAACTCAGTCTGTCTGAAGCCAGAGTCATTTCTGATATTGTCACCCAATTCCTTCCATCAAGAAAGAACGTATATAACAATAGTGAGCATTTGAGAAATGAGGTGTATGGTTCCAGCTGTATGGCTATAAAGACTCCAATCTGCCGAGAAGCCAAGGGATGCAGAAGATAGGAAATATGTCTTCAGTGGAAGAGTATGAACACAAAGGCCCCGAAAGCAGAGGCAGAAACAGTAGCTTCCCATGCCCTTTGCTTTCTGAGAAAGTTGTCTGTCCCCCAAAGAAAGCACCTGTCAGTCTCAGATATCCCAATAGCAAGGTATGTTATTATGGCTCCTTTTGGGGAGCAGTCAACTCATTACCCTCTATGTGCTTGGCACTGCCCTTGTGGACCCACAGACCTTCAGGTCCTGGATATTTGTCATACTCTGGGAAACAGACCCTCCTGTGAGCTCCTTCCCATTCTCTGCCAGCTTCTGGAGCCCAGTAGGCTCTTTAGGGCCAAGATCTCTTTACAAGCTGCAGCAGGACCAGGGCTCAGAATGGTCCTAATACCATTTTCCTTTTCCTGACTTCATCACCATAGGCCATGGAATTATTTGCTGAGATCAAGGATGCTGTCATCCTACGCCTCAAAAAACTTTCCTGGATAAGTGAGAAGACCCTGAATGAGGCCCTGAACAAGGTAAGACCAGGAGTACAGGTCATTTGGGGACTATTTAAGAGATAGTTGATCACTGAATCAAGAAATGGGAATGGAAGAGAAGAAAAGGGCACAGAGCATATATGTGGGTGACAGTGTTAATGACTCTTGAGGGTTTCTGAGGGAATGCCGTATGCTTACAAACTTTGTGTCTCTTTCTAGCTCACCAAGCTGCAGGTGGAGATGGGGGCCCCCAAACGGGCCTTGAAGCCAGATCTGGCCAAAGAGGAATATAATGATGTGAGTCTTGTTTCTTTTAGTGTCCTTATGTCCTTAGCTTCTGACTTCCTGATGCAGCTGAGTCTGAAAAGCAATCCATTTTCCATGGGCAATTCTGAGCCAGCCTCTTCTTTGCCCTGGCGCTAGAAGGATCTTACAGGCAAAAAAACTGGAACTGTCTAGGGCTGTTATGTGCACAAGCATGCATGTACACACATGCATTCTGTGATGTGTCTGTTTATCTGCATGATGATGCATGTAAACTTTGTACCAACGTGAGGTGGTAGCACAGGGTGGTTTCTGCTTAAATATGATTGCATGCATGTCAGGGCTTCCATGTTCAGGTTTACATGTGCCCAGCTCCATCCATCTGTATTCACGTCAGTGCATCAAAATCATCTGCTGCCTCATTCCCAGATACAACTTGGTCCCAGTTTCCTTCAGTCTTTCCTGAGCTGTGAACGATCCCTCCAGGGCAGGAAAGTTCGGCACTTCTTGCAGCCTTTTGCCCACCACAGGTATGAGAACAGACACTGCATCCCAGAGATGGGCTAAGAACAGTGGCAACAGTCACAAAGCCCATGACAATGGTTGGGAGAGACTGCCTGCGCGCCGTGCAAAGACAGTAAATGATGGAGCTGTGTTTGCATGTACTCTTCACACAGATGGACGGAATCTCCCTGGGGAGTCAAGGCCTACTATTCAGTATCTGACCACGTGGTGGTCTTCCCAGCTGGCCTTCTCCAGCCTCCATTCTTCCACCCTGGCTACCCCAGGTATGGACCATTCTCTGAAGGTGAGTCTTTTGGTGGGGGATCTCAAGAGGGATTAATAGCTGTTAGGATGGATGAGACTTGGAGTTGGAAAATTGGCATAAATACTTTCGAAGGTTTCTGCAAGTACAGTGAGACTTTTTCTCTTTAGAGCCGTGAACTTTGGCGCTGCTGGCAGCATCATGGCCCATAAGCTGTTGCATATCTTCTATCAGCTCTGTGAGTGATGAGTCATTGGGAGGCAGGGCCACAGGGATCACTAGGGAGAATATCAAAGGGGCCTGGGGGAAGGGGAGGGTTATTCAAAGGCTTCAACGGGGACAGTCTGAGAGTTCCTGGGAGCCAGGTCAGTCTGCGGTATCCCTCATGGTCCATTGATCTTTACCAATTGCTTCTCTTCTTCCATTTTCAACAGTACTCCCTGGGGGCTGCCCAGCCTGTGACACCCATGTCCTACAGGAAGCACTTCTATGCCTGGAGCACCATTATGCTGCCTTCCCCTTACCCAATATGTCATCCTTCAATGGTTCTCACACACTCCTGGAAAATGCTGGAGATGTAGGAGGCCTGGCCATTGCATTTCAGGTGTGCCAAGGTCCCTGTTCTTCTGTTTTCTTTCTACTATCTCTCATGAAAACATAGTTGCATAGCTTTCTGCCCTTCACATTCCCACTGAACAGATGACAACTTGGGACCCCCTTCCTACCCTGTAGATCCCCCACCTTCTAGAACAACTGTAGGTCTTTTGGTAAGTACCCTTTCTTCTTGCCTCAGACAAGTACATCAGTACACAGTTAGATAAGAAGGCCTAGGAACTTGTTAGAGTGCTATGCTATATATCTGGGATCTGACTTCTGAATGCCTATAGATCTAAAGCCTAAAAGAAATTTCTCTCCCATACTCATATCTAGGCATACAGCAAGAGGATAGTAGAGCACCATGGGGAGATGACCCTGCCCAACCAGGACCTCAGCCCTTATCAGCTCTTCTTCCGCAGCTATGCCCAGGTGAACAGCTACCATTTCTCTCTACACTTGCTTCCTATCAGCTCAGGACCCTCTCCCCAAGGCTAAAGGGATGTTTGCCCCATGCTACCCTGTTCCATACTCACAAGTCCATTGTCATGGATCCCCACTTTTAACATTTCTCATTTGTCCCTTTGGAACCATCCTTTAGTTGATTACAGTTTCTTTAATCAAATTCAACAGCTGGCTTCCCACCCTATCCCCCAAAGAAAAAGACTCTCCACTTCCAAGTCCCTCTGTACGACAAACATGTTGTTCCCTTCTTTTCTCACACTTTAGAAATACAGACTATTTTAAAAGAAGACAACATCAGGCTGGGCATATGACCACACTACTCAGAGACCTCAGTCCTGGGGTTAGTTTCAAACCAGTATCACTCCTTTTAGGACTTTATGCTCTGTCAACAGCATGGCCCACAATTCTTCAACACGGCAATGACTCCCTTATAAAACTCCAATAAACCCAACTTTAGTCCCTTATAAATGGTAGCATCATACAACCAAGTTTCTTCCTATGCAGCTAGTGCAATATTGATTTTCACAGGAGTTCTCCACGTGGTTCCTGAGCACCCTGCTCCTTCTTCTCTGTGTTCTTTATAGTGATCTCCCAGTCCTTGTATCCAACCTGTACTTGTCACCCTGTGAGACGTTCTCTCCTCCTTACCCTTCTTTGATCATCTTTCTCCTCAGGTGATGTGTAGGGAGCTGAGCTCAGAAGACCCTCAGGACACTCACAGCCCTCCCAGCCTTCGAATCCATGGACCCCTCAGCAACACCCCAGCCTTTGCCAAACATTTTTATTGTCCACATGGTACCCTTCTGAACCCCTCTGCCCACTGCAAACTCTGGTAACTTGACTGCCAAAGAGACTGAGATGTACATGCATGGCATACACCTGGCCCCATCCTTCAAGTCAGAACAAATGCCTTTCTTTTTTGTTGTTGTTCTAAAATTAAAAGCGTGTATTTAGCTTTTGTTATCTCTCTTTTTCAGTGTGTGTGTGTGTGTGTGTGTGTGTGTGTGTGTGTGTGTGTGTGTGTGTATACTGTGGCTATATGGGTGCTACAGCTCATATGTGGCGCTCAGAGGACAACTTTGGCTATCAGTCCTTGCCTTCTTCCTTGTTTTGAGACAGGTGTATATGCCAGTGTGTATACCAGGCTGGCTGCTCCACCAGCTAGCTCACAGGGACTCTCCTGCCTCTATCTCCCATCTGTGTCTGTCACACTGTAGAGTGCTGAGGTTACTTATGTGATGACTGCATCTAGCTTTAAGTGAGTTCTGGGGATCTAACCCCAGTTCCTTACACTTGCGCAGCAATTATTTACCCCGAGAGACATTTCCCCAAACCATTTGCTCATCTCTTCATACTTCTTTCCTGCTATGTTCTATTCCTAGAAGTCAGGAAGGATAAGAGGGAAAAGTGGCCGAGAAAAGCTTCATGGACACTGGAAAAGCAGTTGGTGAGCTGATGGGTCTGAAGGTCACTAAGTGGGCGAAAAGCCAGGCAATTCAACAGACCAGTGAGAGAAGAGAACTTAAGCTGCAGAAAGTCGCTCACAATTGTTTTCAGGATTTTATGGCTATTGCTATTTTATTGTCACTGTCTCCTCCCTCTAAGCTGCTGTTTCAGACAAAGCTAAGGAGTTAGAAGGGTGTGGGTCTGGTGTCTTTGGCCCTGGGACGTAACATTCTGGGTTGGGGTGGCAATCGGATAGTGGCAACGAGAGTTGGGAATGCTGTGTTGCTACACCCAAGGCCAGGTGCTTGTCAAAACTGGGGAGTGGGCTGTGCATTTTGAGGAGGCCTCTGGGAGAGGAGGTCAGTAAGCGATCACGAAGGGGAAGTAGACTTCAAAGTCCTCATGCAGGACCCAGACTACTGCCTCCACCACAAAGTCTCTCATAAAAAAATCATGATGCTGGCCAGGTTGAAGCAGAAGGCTACATCGAAGAGGTGGTCCCGGATAGTTGTTGCCTGGGCAATCATGTCTTCTTCCTGGGCCATATCCATCACCTGCCACAGCTCACCCACTGATGAGGCCACAAAGTGTTCTTCGAACTGCTCTTGGCCCAGGTCTGGAACATGAAAGAGAGGCAACCCCCAATCTCAGTCCTGGTCGGCACCAGAATGGGGAGGAGGTCAAGGATGGAGAGACAAGTGAGGGCCAATTGCCAGTCATAACACTGGCCTTGACTAGAAAGCAAACACTCTAACTAGAAAGTTTTTCAGATCTCACTTCAACCATAGCTCCATCTCAAACACACACACCCTTCACTCCTCATAACAGGTTCCCTCCTCCAAAGTGTTACACTGTTTGCGGAGTGAGGCACATCTTCAGGCTTAAAGGCAAAGACCTCTCCTCTCTAGGCAAACACTCTTTCTACTTCCTCAGCAGCTTTAGACAATTGCAGCTAGTCCATGCTGTGGCCCAAGAGTCTTTCTAAAGCCAGACATTTTTATCTGCAGCTATTATTACATACTTAGGGTGACAGAGAATGTAAGTTATCTCATGAAAACGAAACACCTCCCAGTTGATCCTAACTTAGTCAGCTGCTAGAGCCTGAATTCAACCTAAGAGTACCTTTACTTCCACCCCGCTCCCCATTCGCCCTCTCTCGCCACGACCTACCTGCAGAGACTGTTTTCTCTCTCTGACTCCTGTCCTCATCCAGGCTGGTGCTGCCCTTCAGACTCTTCACCCCCTTCACTTGCAGCAGCAGCAGGACAGCTGTCACGAATGTTGCCCTGTGAAGCTGGGGGCCCAGGGAAGTCATGGACCTTCTCTCCCATGCCACCTCTGGCCCCACTCCCCAGGTCCCAGCACCACCTTGTCCCTGTCTCAGCCCTTACCCCTTGCCAGCATCGCTTTTCCTCCTTCTCTTCCATAGGACTTCTGACTCTATGTGTTCTGTGACATCACTGCCATGGCCCTAACCCACATTCTAGATCATTATACCATTCCAGAAGGGTGGCAAATGGCAGATGTTTCGAAAATGGCCATATGAGTCACCTTGTAGATCACAGCCCACAGGGGCTCTAGAACATTGCAAGTGTCATCACATCTATTACACCATTGGATGTGCATATCTGTGTGTACTCCAAAGCAACAACATTCTCATAGTCACTACTTAGATGGAAAGGCAGGTTCACTGGGAAAATACATCTCCCATGCAAGATCACAGCCATCAGTGGGCAAAGTAGGATTCTCCATTAGTGCTTCCGAGTCTAACTGTGATACCTGCCTATAATTCTATGGAGCTTTTCTCTATGCAAAGTGGTTGGCACAGATGAGGCCAATGGCTTTCTACACACCAGTATCCTCAAGTCCAAACATGTTCCTTGTGCTCTGCATGAAACTTGAAGTCTATTAAAAACTGGGAGATAAGAACTAGGGCATAGGGGAAGGATGAGAAAGTACAGACACCATGTAAGACAGACAGACAGACAGAGAGATGGAGACAGATAGAATTTGATGCACAGTGTATAGGGCGGCATAGTGATAGAGATGGAGAGCTGGGTGTACAGTTCTGTACTTCCAGTTACTCTAGAGGGGAGGAAGCAATAGAAAAATCACAAGTTCAAGGCCTGCCTATGTTACAGAGTGACTTCAGTCAAGTTTGGGAAACTTGGCAAGACCCTGTCTCATAAAAGTTCACTTTTAAAAGTGCTGAAGATGTAGCTCAGTGGCAAAATGCCTGATGTGGACAAGAGCTTGGGTTCAATCTCCAGTACTACAAACAAATGGAAAAACAAAACCAAATGAGCACATAAAGAAATAGATGCAAAGAGTTGATTATCTTGTCTGTGAGTAGAGGGTACTCCTTTTTACTCTTTCCCTTATTATTCTTTATACTTGGACTTTGTCCTGTTGTGCATCCAGGCTGAAATACCATCTTTTATTTTGTATCTTCTTGTACTCTCAGACATAGAGAAGCTGTTTCAAGAGCATCTGGCAGCTGCTTGCTTGGTAGAGGGGTGAGAGTCTATAGAGAGAAGGCAGCATAACAAGGAGTCAAAGACCCCAAATAATGGAATTGGAGAGGAGAGGACCTGCACCTGGGTGCCTGCTCCCTCCACAAGTCAGACCTGTCGGCTAGCTGGCAGAGCAGACTCGGGGGTGCTGGGTTGGGAATACAGTATGAAGGTCTTTCTTGGAAAAAGAAAAACAGACACGGGCCATGAGCAGCAACTGGGTACAAGGACAGGGAAGGCCCATTCATATCACTCTTTCTTACATGCAAACACAGATGTCAGGGGATATACACGAACATACACTTTTGTACAAGAAAGAATTGGAGAAACGAGAAGATAAGATGAGAGATGAAATTCCTTTCCCATGAAGGGAACCCATGCTAGCAGGCACATTCACATGGAGCCTGCCAGACTCTAGCTCTTACTTCCTTGAGCTCCAAACCAGGTGACAGGAGACTGGGGAGTGATATAGAAGGGCACTTTATGGTGGTGGCATAAAGGTGTAAAAATGCAGTGACCTCACTTACCCCAGCCTCGTACCCATTGACCTGCAGATCCAGCGAATGATGAATGAATGGAAAAAAGTAAAATCACGAATCTCCTCCTGGCTATTTTGGAGGAGGAGCTTCTTAGTTCCCTGGTATGTAGAGAAACCTACAGCTCTGGAGACATGAATGAGGAGGGCAATAGTGGGAGGGGCAGCTCAGAGTGGGAAGAACCAACTTGGGCTCATTATCAATGACTTCTACCTCTTTACCATTTCACCTGCCTGACACTCAGCTTCCGAAGAAGTGAGTCAAGCAGGAGCCACTAATGCCCTCATTTTTCTCTTCTTACAAAGTATAAAACACTCAAAAGCACACAGGAACAAAAAAAAAGCCCTAACAATTCTACCATCTAATGATAACTGCTGTTAACATGGTGTTCAGCTGTAGTGCTGCTTATTTCCTCCTCCTAGATACTTGTGAGCGGGTGGGAAACATCCCCTGGACTCAACAATGAGGTGGCAAGCCTGCCACTAAAATGCAGCTGCCGTGCTGGGGGTACAATGACCGGGGAAGGCGCTATCTGGAAGAGGGGCTGCAGTGGTGCTCGATGCAGAAAGCTGCAGGGGTACCGAGTAGAAAATGAAGACAAGAAAGGATGACAATGTGACAACATAGGCTATTATCAGAGGGAAGGTGTGGTGGAGAGAAAAGCCAAAGGAGGAAAGATTCAAAACTCTGTTTTACCTACTGAGATGGATGGTGATGGGACAACGGACAACTTGGCCCCCACCGAGGTTCCTTATTCATACCCCTCCAATTGAAGAACCTAGTTCGGGCAAGAGGGGCAATAAAAGATTGAAGACCTAGGGGTGGTTGCTCTTTCTCTTCCTTCAGGGACTTAGGGCCAATGTCCTTGGTGACTGCACCTGCTCTGTGTGTCCCTGATTGAGCCAGACTCCTCCACCACAGCCCCTCCCCCTACCCCCTCAAGGATTAGCTTTATGGGCTTAGTAATTCCTTGCCAAGTGCACCATTCTTGACCAGCTCCCCCTCTACATATCAGCACATCTATAACCCCCACCTCAATCTTATCGCTCCCTGCATCTCCTTAGGCTGGAAGTCCACAGGTTTCAGAGACCATTAGCACCCACAATGCCCCAACCCCCAGTGAGGCATAAAAATGCCCCACAAGGTGACCCTCCCTACTCCCTGGGTAAGAACAGTTTCTCTGTGTCTCAGGCACGTCCTCTTCCTCTCCATATTTCCTTTCCTTTCCATCCTTGCCCTGTTCTAGAGGTTATTTTGCTCTCTGGATCAGAGCTTTCTTGCTTATGTCAAAAGAAGGCAGTCCCAAGGTCCCAAAGTTTTCTATGGGAAGGTCTCAAGTATATCCCACTCAAGTCTCTCGTATCTTTCCCGAGTCTCTTAAAAGTGGATTCTGGGACACATTCTTAGCTTCTAATCCAACTCCCCAGCTCTATATTTGTTCTTTAAAATTAAATTTTAGCAGA